AAAATCTTGCTTATTAGCAAGTCGAGTTAATATTCCATGTGTTGCAACAATTAGATAAATTTCCTCTCCGGGAAATTACAGAAATCTTGCTCATTATCAAGTCGAGCTAAGGTTGCATGTCTTGCAACACTAGAAGATTTTCTATTAAGGAAACCACAACAATTTGTACAAAATGAAAATCGAAGTGACGTTCAAATAAGATATTCATTTACTAACAAAATGTGATTACAAGCAATTCAAAAGAAGGTACAATGTTTAGCAAAAGCATTAAACAAGAAAGCCAAGGTGCTGAAGGATCTTTCTTAGTTGGGACATTGCCCTTAATATCTTTATCAACAGGGGATATGCAAACTCCGCTGCCTCCTACAGCTTCTACAGCCTTTTCTTCTGCCATTCTAAAGCCTTCACCAAGAAGGTAATATCAAAATCTGGCTTCTTTATGCCAATATACTTCACAAGCTTTTCCAAGGCTACCACATAGGCATCTTGAGCTAGAGCATCGAACTCCAAAGAGGCCCTCCAAATATCCCCTGCCTTGGCTACTTTAGCCTTAGCCTCTTCTGCCTTCTTGGTGGCTTCTTCAGCCCTCTTCATTTCCTTGTCAACTCGCTCTTCATCAACTTTGGCTCTCTCCTCCTCAGCTCTTTTTCTCAGTAGAGGCCCTGGCTGCTTTCTCCCCCCAAATTTGCAGGGCCTTATTGTTATCCATAAGGCTCAACTAGAGGATGACTTCGCCTCCAGCTCTACCCCCATCCTGTTAAAACGATCTTCATATTCGCTATCTTTTTTAGCATATTTCACCCTCTCAGCCTCCATGTTTTTCAAAACGGCCTAAGGTTTGACTCTTGACCTTTAGCATTTTGTTCAGTTCGGCCCTTACCTAAATAAATAAAAAAAAGCAATCTGAGTATAAAATGAAATAAGCAAAAAGTTTCTAAGTACACGAGCTCAAATGACGTATCTTATCTACCACAGACATCATATACAGAATGGATCTGTGGCCATTGAGTTGAATAAAGATTATGGCATCGCCTACTTGCATCTTAGTAAGGAATTGATGCCCCCCTCTCATTTGAGCTTCTAGTAAGGATATTAGCAAAGTCTTGGAGGGGAGAATGAAGTACAGCTGTAGACTCCCCCAACGGAGATGGAGCCCCGAAGAAGTCTAGGAATATCCTAGGTCGATGGCCTACTAAGCCATTAATGTTAGGCCTTCGTAGATTTGGGCATCGCTCTTACGACCTCGAGGAGCCAGCCCCGACAGTGGCAGGAAATGAGGAAGTTGTAGGGATTGACCTCTGTAGAGGTATCACTAGGAAGGACTTCTCTGGAGATAACGCAACGTAAGTTAACCTTGCTAATAACTCTTCAATACGGCCACGCTTTAAGGGTTGAGCCTCCTGCTCAACCCCAACCTCCTCAGGTCGGTTCACAACCTTAGTAGGAGCCTCTCTCTTTTCCTCTTATTAGCAGCAGTCGTCGTTTTCACTACCTTATACCCCAATATGTCTTTATCTCGATCTAAAGAACAAAAAAAAAATTAGTATTCGAATTAGATGCCAACTAAAACACTTAGATGATAATTTGGTCCTTACTGAAAATAGTTGGAATGGAGGTGGAAGCTCCAACTGTAGTTGATGTCAGAGGTAGAGGTTGGAATAACCCTGCTCGAAAGAGGTTTGAATCGAAGATAACAAATTTGTAGGACCTCTTCTTCTTTGGGAGAGCTCGTATCGTGTTAGCTCACTCCTGGACCACCGAAATCAAAGTCGCCTTCTTGTAGTCTACAAGCAAAGTAAAATAGTCAAGGATACACTTACGAGTAAGTGTGGCAAAATACAAAGAAGATACTTACATAATGGATGATAACGAGTAGGAACTACGTCCTCCCTATTTACTTAGAAAGGGTAAAAATGCCATTCGCCCAACGCAAAAGAATTCTTTCTTCCATTTTTTCATTGCAAATGGAGTATCTAACACTAGTGGACCACCAATCCTATGACTAACACTGGCATACCACCAATCAATGTTCTTTCCGTCCTCTTTGTAAGTAAAAAAGGAGTACAATTATTTCACGCTATGCTTGGGGTTCCCTAATTTATCCCACATAATCAAAGTGGCAACCAATATTTGTCACCTATTGGGCATAGTTGAGTAGGAGCTATTCCCCAGAAAGAAAGGAACCTACAAATAATTTTATGGAACGAAGTCTGAGACCAGCATTTAGAATGGCAGAGTTCAAAAGCCACGCATCCCACTGGGAGGACACCAGCTCGATCAGATGGACTGGGGATTACCATTTTCACCTAGCCAAGAATGCTATATCTAGCCCTCAAGTTCGCAAGCAGATCTCCCATCACCACTGACCTATAAGAATCACCCCCACTCCTCGGAACCATTTCCCTCACTACCATCATCAGATCTGACTTCTTCCCCCTCAACTGTCAACACTCTTAGGGTTTTGTTCCATGTTTTTAGGATGACCTAAATCTCCCGGGTTAACTACAGAGATTAGGTTCGGAGTTAAGACTTCCGATAGTCCAAACTAGCGGAAGAGGTGGAAGTAGAAAATATTGTCTTTTTTACTAGTTACCCTAGGAATGTACCCTAGACCTTTTTGAACTCGTGCAATGACCCAGGTGAAAAATGCAAGAAAAAGAATGGTGCTTTATGATAAAAGAATACCTGGGACCAGAGGACCTTACTCAGAAAGGAAATAAAAATGCAAGGAAAATTTTTTTGCTTCCTTGAGAGAGAAAAGACTAGCGAGCAAAAGTGTGAAAATGAAAATATGAAGGAGGATTTTAAAAATGAGGAGACCAAAAGGAAAAATCAGATGCTTTAGATGAAGAAAATGAGGGAAAATGAAAGGCCCAGATTTGACAAACCAAAACTACGTAGTTTTGATACCAAGCTTCCAAGGAAAGCTAATGAAAATGCTAGACAGCTCACCAAATCAAATCGTGACACTTGTCGAACAAGTTAATGCTGTAATAATGACAAATATAGGAAAACAAGCTAACTGTGTTCAAATTCAGTCCATCACCTACGTGAGCATAGACCTGGGGGTAACTGTTGGCCCCCGAAGTCTGACCTAATTCAAAATGTACCTGGCTTGTGTAAAATTCAGATCGGATCACCAAGGTCAGCTCGTACCTATGACGGCCATAATTCCAGGAGACATAATGATTACATATTCCTTCCATACTTTCAAATTACCCAATCCCTCAATCAACTAGTAACAGTTGGAGAGAATGACGTTCGAGCCTTCCTATCCTGCCAATCATCTACCATAACTTTTTATCCATAATCAGCTCATCATTTCCTGGCAACACTACAGGAAATGACATCATGATGATCGGATGGAAGCCAACCTCATCAACCAATCAAGGGTAAAGATAATTGTCACACCTTCCAAGCTCGACACTGTAGCAGATTTGATTGACAAGACATGAGTCCAAACAATGAGAAGCCATTATTTCCTATAAATAGAGAAAGAAGGTCTTCTCCAGAAAAGGGCCAAAGCTGAACAACTTCACTACTTCAATACAAACCCCCTACTATTTCTACACCTCCACTAAGGAGAGGGACAAAACGCTTATATTTGAAGGTCATCATAAAAAAAAAACATTTTTTCTGCTTTAAAGGTGACTCGAATTTTGTTCTGACCATTTTCAACATCAACAGACACAATTGCTAGAAAATTGTGTCTTGAACAGACACAACTCATCTGGTCAACAACTATTCAAAAAGACTGACTTGTAAGTGTCAGGTGTTAGAACTGGGAACACGTGTCATGCATAGATAATTTTGGGAGGTTATAAATAATACAAATAAAATATTTTATTCAATGTAATAAAAATATTATAATTAAATATATTATTTTACCAAAATATTTAGGCCTAATCCTAACCCAAATCAAAGGTCATGGCACGTGACCAAGCATTGTTGGTGGCCCAGGCGTGTAGGCTTTAGCCAAAATCACTACAACAATGCTTGGTGTACAATCATTAGGAGGTTGTAATTTTTACAACCTCCTAATGATTGTACAAATGGATATTTTCAAATCACTAACATATAGGGTCTCTCCCTTCCAAAAATAATTGGTACTTCTTGGGATCCAAACCTAAGTATCAAGCTTGAGCTATGAAAAATGACATTTTAGCTTCTAGTTTTTTAATGTGGGATGGATACTTTCATTTTCTCACCAATTGTAATTCCAACTAATTACAATTTCAAGCAACTTCTTTTGGCCAAAATTTCTCATTCGCACGAAATTAATCTTGGGAAAATAAATATATTATGTTAAATGACTCACGGAGTAGAACACAGTGGACCGAAGAAATCTCGTGTCCGGCTATTGAGATCCACTTGAATAATTGGTCAAAAGTTAGCCAAACCAACTTTAACATATCACCAATTTCCAACATTATGTGCACACAGTCCTTAATTAATGGCTTGACACGTGAACCCTCTTTCATATATAAGTAGCAATAAGACTTGATATCACGGCATTTGTTTGGTACCACTTACTTTAAAATTTTCCGTGTACCATTTGTTCAGTACTCTACAATCTAACTCTTGGATTATGCCTAGGTCTAGCTAATTATATGTGAGCATGCAGAGCTTCATTTTTGTGAAGCTCTCAAACCAGAAATAGAACAATCAATAGACAGATAAATGAAGTTGTCGTTAGAACTGGAAAGGCACTAATCACACAGTAACAAGAATAAAACTGGCAAGTTCCGTTAGCCTAATCTACTCAATACAGAAAATATGGAAAGATAAATAAGGCTGATGAATAGGCCTAATATATTCAAAACTAATTACCACCTGCAAACCTTTTCATTTATAGGAATAACAGTAGATTTTACAACTGAAATGAACTATAACTTGGGTAAATTTGGAGTTTGAGATAAATCGCATCAATGGGTGACATACAATGATGGTATGTTTGATACTCAGTATTAGACGGCGCTTTCTGTTCGAGTTTCTATTTCTTAGCTATCTCTCGAGATGATTACTATCTCACTTGAATTGTCATCAGTTTCTGTTTCTTGGTTCTCGCTCAAGTCGATTACTGTCTCACTTGAATTGCTCGCCGTAGTTTCTGATTCTTGGCTCTCTCTCGAGTCAATTGTTGTTTCACTTGAATTGCCAGTTTCTGTTGCTTGCCTCCCTTGAGCATCATCTTCACCAAGGTGGATCATTTCCATTCTTTGATTCATTCCAACTTCAATACCACTTTCAGTTTCACTGAAGTGATTACTCTCTTCCCCTAATATTGATTCACTTTTCACAAAATCAGCACAAGTTCTACATATTGGACAAATAGGTGTTCTCAGAAGCCATAAATCCACACAGTCTGCGTGAAAACTGTGATTACACAAAGGTAATAGTCTACACTTTTCTCCAACCTTAAAATTCTCTAAACAAACCGTGCAAATCGCAGCCGGGCTGCTCCCTCTCTCCTTCGTCTTGAAGTTGAAACGCGGGAGCTTTTCGATATCGTCTTGTGACATGCTTGTGCTTCCAAAGCTTCCTCTCTCCACAACATCAGCGTTTCTCTCACTAAATCCTCTCCTAAGAGACCTTCCTACAATACAAACATGAATGAGGACTAGAACTCCAATTCCTGCAAATAATAACAGTACAGATATGACTATTTCCATTACTATTGCTTGTGTTGCAATACCTAAAACACGGTTCTTCATCTTCTTATTACCCCAAACTCCATGGCTTCCATTGCAGCTGAAACACGGAAGAATTGAAATCTTAAATCAAAACACTACATATGGAAAATATGAAACTGTCCAAACAAGAATTGGAAAAAGAAAGTCGAGACCTCTACCTAGACTACGGTCTGAAAAAGGTGATATCGAATGTTTAAGAGGCAGTATTCCCACTATCGGGCTCTCGAGTATGCATCGAAGTTGTCCTTGTATACTCTCTGCAGGTGGAATCAGAGTTGGACAATAGAAGATAGATTATAAAATTAGAAATGTTGTGGAGTTGTTTGAGATAAAAAGGAAGTCTTTTGCTAGGTTTTTATATAGAAATTCATCTAATTATAAGCAGAAAAAGCTAAACCAAACACCATTTATTCTCACTCAAGCAAATATTTAATCCTAATTAGTGGGGTTTGATTTAGTCATTTTGTGGAGTGGGTGGTTTAAAGTAGAGATCACTCACTTTTTCCTGTAATTATTTTCCAATTACGTCAGTAATGTTGGCAACAGTATTGCATGATTTTGAAAACTAATTGCACCATTGTAATATTGTTATATATATGTGGATAATAATGCTGGAAAAGTAAGCTTGATTGAGTTGATTTTGCATGTAGAGTAGTTGATGGCCACAAGTATTTGACTCTTCCATTCTTTTCATTTTTCCAGTATTAAACTATACACTTTCTGGCTGTACAGGCAAGTTTGGGCCGGGGCGTGCCGGGCCATTCTTGTTGGCTAATAATGATATTATCGTGCAATAATTTGGGCAGAATAACGACTTGCAAAAATGAACGAAATAAAATGATAATGCTTGAGGCAAGAGGTCAACTCTTTCTCTTCAATACAATAATGCCCAATATTGGTGTTGACGGTATTGCGATACTCGTCTCCCAAGATACAACGACATCGACTTGTAATAGTATCATTTCAAATTATAAGATCCGATGAACCTACTCACGTTTTTTATCTCTCTAAAATTAGATGACTAAAATGTACGAAAATAACTTTTGAGACTAAAATGCAAAATATGGAATAATGCAGGATGAAGGAACATAATTTGCAAGAGAGAAAAATCAGAATTATTTTGAAATGAATAAAATTCGGGGTATTGGGATCTTTATATAAAAGTTGAAAAGTTGTGTCCAAAAAACACAACAGTCGAAAAGTTGTATTTTAAACAGACAGAACCCGTTTGGATAGGCAGATCAACTGTCAATAGCCAGATTCTAGAAAAAGTCATGTGTCGCATACAGAAAATTTAGGAAAAATAAATAATATAAATAATTATATTATTATTTTAAATAATAAAATAATATAATTCAAATATTATTTTACCATAAAAATATATATCAACTTGGTTCAAGCCCAAGCCCACGACCCGTGACCGTGCCNGTGTGTGCGCGTGTGTGATTTTTATTCTTCTAGTTTTCTTATGTGGGATTGTCATTTTCCAATTCCCACCAATTTTTATTCCTAATTTATTCAACTTCAAGTGGTCATCTTTTAACCTTAATTTCTCATTCACCCTAAATTGGTTATGAGAAAATAAATACATTACATTAATCTACTCATGGAGTAGAGCACGAGTACTCGCCAAAGAAATCTTTTTTTCAACTAATGGGACCCACTAAAATAATTGGTCAAAAGTTGGTCAAACCAACTAATTAAACAATTTTTTCCAATAATACCCCACATGAATGAAAATTAATGCAATAGACTATGTATACCATATAGAGAGATCAGGCGGAATGTTATCGCATCCGGATATGTACATTATGAGTTTGAACATTCCATAGTAGAATTCTATCAGATTTACTTGACTAATTAGTGATCAGGTGCCTTGAACTGTCAGCCGTTGGTGTAAACTAAGACAATATTATTAACACAATAACCTCCCTAACATTTTCGAGTTCTCATTATTGTGTTCATTTTGGTCCTGAACAACTCTTAGAATTCTTAAGTGTTTTAGAGAATTCAAACCTTTAAAACATTCTCATAGAAGCGGCCACACTTCACACTTGTATAGGTGATCTCCTATTAAGAGTACATGTCATACCCCACTTAGATAGTCCAAAATATAGAAATCATTAAAAGTATAACTTAACCTAAAACTTTCTACAGATAACATTCTCTTATCGTAGGAATTGGTAGGAATTAACTACGAAGTGCTTCTTTGAATCTTCATAACTTAGTTGGTCCATTGAACTAAGATTTTGGAAGCTCCAGTCAATAAGGTTGGGTTATCATTACAAATATTCTTACGTAGTAGGCTTTAAACTCATTTCCCTTGATAGACAATACAGTTGATCTCTTGGTAAGCTTTTGGTAAGCGGATCCTCGAGATTTTCTCTAGACTTTACATAATCTATAGAAATAACACCATTTGAGATCAACTGCTTAATTATATTATATCTTCGACGAATATGCCGAGACTTACCATTATACATACTACGTTGTGCTCTACCTATAACTGACTGACTATCACAATGCATACTAATTGCAGGCATATGTTTAGGCCAACATTGAATATTCTCTAAAAAATTACAAAACCATATTGCTTCCTCTCCAACTTTATCTAAAGCTATGAACTCAGATTCTATCGTGGATCGAGCTATACATATTTATTTAGAGGATTTCCAAGATACGACCGCACCAACAATGGTAAAAACATACCCACTAGTGACTTTTGAATCGTTTGTATCTGATATCTAATTAGCATCATCGTATCCTTCTAATACAACTGGATATCTAGTAAAATGTAATCCAATATTTGAGGTGTATCGTAGATATCTAAGAACTCTTATCGTTGCCTTCCAATGGTCATTACTTGTGTTACTTGTAAATTTAGTAATTGGGTGTTTGGTGGTGATTAAAATTAGATTTTTAGTAGATTGTAATAGAAGTTTTTGAAATATGTAGTTGAAAAGGTGTGGGACCCATGAAAGATGTGGTTAATATTGATTGTTTGACTTTGACTTCAAATCTGATTTTAATCAGAAACGAACAAGGCCTAAGCTTGTTCACTGCATATGCAATATCCGAACGAGTGCAGTTTGTAATATACATTAGGCTGCCTATTATCCGACAGGACTCTAATTGAGATACGGGTTCGCCTTTATGTATGGCCAAATTAGACTTAAGTCCACCGGTGTTTTAACTAGACTTTTATCATATATATGAAACTTTTTAAGTACAGTCTCAATATAAAGATATTGAGATAGAATAAGTTACTCAGATGTTTTAAGGATTTTAATTCCTAATATTACATCTATAATATCTATATCTTTTATGTCAAAATGTTTTGTTAGCATTTTCTTGGTAGTTGTTATGATATCACAATTACTACCCATAATTAGCATGTCATCAACATATAGACATACGATTACATATGCATTATGTGTGATTTTAATATAAACACATTTATCATACTTTTTAATTTTAAAATCATTTGACAACATAGTTTTGTCAAATTTTGCATGACATTGTTTTGGCGCTGGCTTTAGTCTGCATAACGACTTAACGAGCCTACACACATTTTTTCCTGTCTAGGAGCAATGAACCATTCGAGTTGTTCCATGTAAATTTCTTCTTATAACTCACCATTTAAGAAAGCTGTTTTGACGTCCATCTGATAGATTTCCAAATTATGCAATGTTGCAATTGCAATTAATACTCTAATAGATG